GGGGGAATTTTTATAAAAATTAAATTTATTTGTCCTTAGTAGATTACATGTTAATTTAATTTGACTGCAAAATGATTTGTGATATGTGGTGTTATCTTCAGTGTACTATAATTTTAATTTTGGGAATGAAATAGAAGACTTAATTGAAATTTTTAGTGAAAAAGATTATGCTAGAGTTAAGATATTTAGTAGAAAACTATGAGAAAATGATTTTACTATTTTTATTAAAAAAAATTGTATTTTTGAAAAATTAAGGATTCTTAGATTTACACTTTTAAAAGGATTGAAACTCTATTAAAACTTATTTTTAAACTAATACTACATTTTTCAAGTACAGGATAGTGATAAGTTTTTAACTTTAAAAGGATGATAGTGAAATTAAAAATGATTTAAGGTCTATCTAGATATAGTAATCCTCACAAAAAGTAAGGATTAAAAGATCCTGAAAAATAAAAAGTTAGGAAAAGCTTGAGGAGAAGCCTAATCAAAAAATGGTTTCACTTGAATATTCAAAAAAATATTTAAAAACAATCCTGAACTTGTTTTTATTTCAAAAAGTATTAGTAAAAATTTTACAAATAGAGAAATTAAATTTTAACTTTATATTTTCCAAGAATCCTAACTTTAACAAATTACAATTATTTTTAAACTAGATAGGAAATCAGGATTCTTAAGTTTAATACTAAATATTCTTATACCATAGTTTTAATCTGATTCACTAGAACTTCTTCTAGATTATAATACAACATTCCTGGAGAAAAACTATAGGAAATCCTGAAGAAACCCCACTACCTCAAATCAACAAATTTAGTTTTTAAAGTTGTCGTGTTACTTGAGAACAAGTAGAGTTTAAGTTTGGGGAAATTTGATATGTCTTCGGATATACTTAATTTCTTCTTTATTTTACACATATTTTTGAATGAAACTTTACTTACTGAAAGATATTTTTATGTTTATGACATAGATATAACAAGTAGGAGCATCAGAACGAATTTGAACTGAATCGGAGGGAAATAGAATTAAATGGTGCGAAGGTGCAGATTGTGGTCTAGTGTCTAGGCACCCACTTTTGGGCACCTTGGTGTCAGGTTCTAGGCGCCTAAGCACCCAAGCTTTTCGAGCAGACAGAGTGCACGACTCTTAGGCGCCGCAGACTAGGTGCTTAGGTGTTACAGTTCAAACAGTTACTTTATGCATGACTCGGAGAGTTATTTTACTGGTGCTGACGGTTCAGATGGAGAGTTTTGGTAGTTTTACGAGTATAGAAGAAGTTCCAAGTCCTAGAATTCTCTAAGGACGGTAGGTATGAGTAAGAATTCTTGTTTTAGATAGATTTGAGGGAATTTGGGAGAATCTATAAGGGGTTTATAACAGCATCTTGTGTAGCACTATGGAAAACATCATCCGGTAGAATTTGCTTCTCTTTTAAGAGGGAAAAAGCTAAGTATCATATGTAATCTTATTTGATTATTGCTATAAACACATATTTGGTTAATCTGTTTAGATTGAATGAAGTTTTCTTTGGTGTTTATCATGTGTAGTGGGTAGATTTCTTATACATTTCTCTTGTGATAGATATATTAGATTTGTAGGGTTGTGAATGCTTTGAATTGATCTTTACTTTCATGTGATGAATATATCTCTAAACTTAACTTACATGTTGTACTGGTCATACTTGTTAAAACTCGTTATGACACATTAGGACTTGAAAGAGTGGAGGTGAAACAACATAGAATATTCACATTGTGTGAATGGCTATGAAAGATGAGTCATGAGGCAATGCAACTTAGAGAAATGAGTATCGATATAATTTGAATTATGAGTTTCACGGGTGACAGAAGGAAACAATTACCTAAATTTGAATCATACTCATTTATGCACTCAAAATAAGGTAAATGAGTCTTATGCTCATGTTGGCACTATCACATTACAATTCTTAGTATTAACACCTACAATCTACCTAGGAAATCATAAGAGAGAAGTACATATATCAATCTTGTATTTCACCTGTTTAATTGATCTAAGCAAGTTTAACTTATGGGTAGAAATATACTTAGGAGTAGTTCTTAGAATAATCATATTTAACGATCTTCCAAACTAGGACCTGAAAGTAGTAGGCTATAATTCACCCTTATGTTGTTATTACTACAAAGTCTCTGCCACCTTTCCTAGGGGATCGACATTCTGGACTCAAGTAGAGCCCTATATTACGAAAGTGATACGTGCACTTGCGTAGGAACCCTGGCACTTAGGTGGAGACTGTGAGTTAAATTAAATTATCGTTAAAGTGTTGGTAGCTACTGGGGCTGTCAGTAGGGAATGGTATGGATGTTTCTTAAGTAATTCCTTGAACGTTTTCCCAAGCTTCATAAATTGACTTTCCAACTACCTAAGTAAACGAGGTAATGTTGTACCAAAGCTTGGGAGTCTTAGATCAAGGGAACAATTGGCCAGGAAGTTTTTAGTTAGGCCAGTCCAAGTGATGATGGTTCATGTGGCTAATGTGGTCAACAATATCTTTGTTTAGTCGACACAGTTTTATCTGAAAATGACACATAATTCTAAGAAGTTGGCTAAGTGAAGGTTAGGGCCCCTAGTGGGTGATCCCCAAACTAAATGTTCTACACCATTTGGATTATGGCAGGTCTTATTTCAAAGGTTTTTTGCTTTTAAGATGTCAAAATTAATGCACATATGGATCTCCACGGATGATGGTTTGGTAAACTCCCTAAAGAGCTTCATGTGATTGTCCTGGCGTTTCACCATCTCTAAGTGTGTCTCACGCTATTTTTTAGTTCTCCTAAGTTGTCTAAGGGCTTGTTTAGTTTCCAGATCAAGTGACAACAATTCAACTAAGATGCTCCTATGCATGTAATGACAGGTATGCAATGGATCCAATGGGTGGTCCTATGCTAACACAAGAAATACGACAAAAAGCAAGAGAAAAAAAAATAAATACAGGGCAACGAACGGTGAACAAAAATATGCAAATAAAAAATTTCATTTTTTTTGGGGTTTTTTTTTTCTTTTTGGTTCCTACAATAAGAATGAAAAAGACACACATGTACAGCACAAAAAAGCACAACAAAAAAATTTAAAAGCAAGAAATAGAGAGTGTTAAAGCCTGGACTCTAAGTCGTTCAACTAAAGTTCTCCTAAAGTCAAAAAATTTTTCTATTTTTCCCGGCTACGATGCCAAAAACTTGATGTCCGAAATTACTGCAAGGCAAATCGGTAAACCACACAAGTATATTATTGATTAAGTACTATACAGTTATCAAGTTTTGTGTATTGATCACATAAGGAAAGGGAAAAAAAGGGTTTCCAACAGAGAAAGCTCTAATTTACTGCATTACTGAACCTAGTTTGAAGTGATCACAATTGAAGGAATTAAAGTCTACAATCCTAAGTGAAATAGTAAACTGAATAGGCAATAAGAAAGGAAACAACAAAAAGCACGGAGTCTTTTGCATCCTTCAAAGGAAGCAAAGCTCATGCTCATATGACTCGGGTGGCGTGTTTTATCGTTATTTTCTTATGAATTCTCCTAGATGATAGTTGCCAACCAAGGAAAGTATTTTTTTTAGCCTATGTCTAGGTCATAAGAAGAGTTGGAAACGATATTACAGTTAAGGACTTAACCATGCAGTGTTTCCTAGGGCTTTCAGATCCCCTATCTTGATTGCAATTTCCTAATAACAATATGTTTATTTCACTAGGCTATTGTGTGTTAGCCTAATTGTTCCACTAGTCAACAATTAGAAGTCCTAGATCACAAATGTTTTTAACATCCTAATTTATCATATTAGGAGTAAACTAAATATCAAAGGTTAACACTTATAACGTTTACTAGAAAAATACGTAAAGAACACAACAGGAAATATCTTATCCTTGCAACACAAGCATGAAAAAAAATTTAACTACTCGACATGAGATAGAAAACAGGAATGCTTTCATTAAAAATATTGAAAAAAAAAAATTGATGCAAAAAAAGTATAAAATTTATAACCAAACAAATGCTCTATGCAATACACCAACTCATTGTCGTACAACAATAATGACTCCACGATCTTCCTCCCACATAATATTTCTCCAGACAATCTTGTCAAACCTTTTAAGGAAAAAAAATGAACCTAGAAGTTTTCTTCCTTGCGGGAGAAGAGGAAAACCCTGTGGATTGAAGTATAAACTCTCGTGTTGTTAAACGCCTCTCAAATCTATGCCGGCTCGCTTAGATTGTGCCCTAGCTTCTACTTTTATAACCGTTGCCAACATAAAATAGAATGTACGATGGTGTGACCGCACCTGTATTCGGCAAGACTACACCTTAGTCGACATAGCCACGCCAAATACGAACATAACTACGTTGCACCATGTGCATGGGTAGCATAGTTACGCCGCATTTAAGTGTGATTACACAAAATCAACTCTATAGAAAACATCATTTTTTCACTTTGTGAAGCACATTCAACCCCTATAACCTGCAAAATATCACAAAGAACTTCCACAAGCATAATAACCTAATAAACATGAAATAAAACACATAATTTAACCCATGAAGAATACGTAATTTTGACTCATGTCAAGAGAGATTATTAAGGCCAATTATCCATACCATGAGGTATATTCTTCATCTATAAAGCTTAAATCGTGTCATGATCGCACACGACATATCGACTTTACTATTAATTTCAATGACATTTAAACCTCAAGTAGGCTATAGATTAATGATTTTTCTTTGCCCGATCCTTTTCTATAGATATAATTGCAATATAAATATTATAGAAATCATAAAATGCATGATTTAATTATAAAGCCATTAAAAATTTAAATTGCAACAATTTTAGTGAAACATGCGTCTACATTAACACTCACATTATTATACTAATTGGTTTTATGACCAAGTTATAAGACATATTTCTTGAATGCAAATAACTGTCTGTCTTGCATTTATAATTGAGACTATTATGGCATAGTTTTTAAAACTCTTAAATGGTTTGAAATTTCCCTCCAAGGAAAAATATAAGAACAAAATAGAGAGGAAGTTAGCAAATCCTAGGGAAATGGAAGAAATTCTACAATAGAAAGGATACATGTCTGAAGGCTGCTAAGAGACAGGTAAGGGTCTCTTTGGGGAGATTACAAATGGATATTTTCTTATTACAAACACCTTAACTTCCTATCAATGATATCATTAAATTTATCCAAAAACAGATCTTAATAGAACAGCACAAGGAAAAACTCCAGTTCCAAGACAGTTGACAAAATTATAATGTCAACTTCACCAGTTAGCTAATTTTCAGCATTGAAAACTTTTAATTCCTCTAATCTACTGATAAGAAGGCTTGAATGCAGACCTCCAAGACATATCATCAGACAAAGGGGCCCTGCTCGGATCAGCACTATAAGAATTATGCTGGTACAGTGGTTCTAATGCAGATTCTGGCAACCGACTCTCTGCAAGGTAATGCTTCATTGTAGCAATCTCCATCGTATGTTTTTTCTTCAATTTCTCTATTTGCCTCCTAAGTTTCTCTATTTCTTGCTGTGCTTTGCCATACTTTTCCTGCATTAAAGCAATCAAATCAAACATCAAATTGTGTTTATGTATTACATTTGGGAAATTGGAAATAATTGAGAACAATTAAACCTCTGTGATTAAAACAGCTTCTTCAGACTCTTTCAAACGCACAAGCAGTTCTCCTGCAGCATGAACAGCATCGGCAGTGTCTCTGAGTTGAAGCTTAAGGACCCGATTCTGCTCCTTGAGGCCAGACCTTTCCTTCTCTCTTTCAATTTTAGATGTTGCAAGTTCAGCCGCAAGAGCTGCAGCAAAAGCAGAACCTTTACATTTGGATTCTGCTTTTGCAGCTGCCTTCTTCACCCCTGCAATGGCCTCCATGACCTTCCTGTGCTTGCCAAGTAATTCATCGTACTTCTCCTGAAGCTCAGCATAGTGTTCAATAATTCTAGCGTGCCCCTGTATGGAACGATGCAGCGCATCATCCAATTCAGCAGTGCATTGCTTTTCAAAGCTAAGCTCAAGTTCCTTCTTCTCTGCAAGCCTACGATTCGATTCAAGATCAATCCTCAACTCTTCAGTAAGAGATATCCATCTGCTCTCTGATTCCATCCACCTCTCCTTCTCACGCTCAAACTCTTCTCCCTTTACTGGGGTACCGCTACCATTTCTTATCTGTTCAAGCAGTGAAACATTCGTAGAACTACAGTTATAAGACTTCAACTGCTTTCTTAGGAGCTCTATTTCTTCAATAAGAGCCTCCTTGTCAATGCAACCTGAATTGATTCCATGATCAGCAACATATTCATTATTCTGTATCACAAAAGCACCAAATGTAGTGTTACAGAAAACACTAGGAGTCAAAGTTCATAACTTTTGAAAGCACAAACCACAACGTTTGTATAAATCAATCTGCAGCTCAAAATATTACAAAGGTATCCTTAAATAAAAGATCATATCCTCATACCGCTTCATTCAGTTCTTAGAAGTACCTGAGAATCCAGCTTTCTTATTTTCTCTGCTTGCTCAACGCATAGAGTTTCTAGTTCGGTGTTTCTCTGTTTCACATCTTCTGAAGCCTTGATTTCTCCCTGTATTACATACGTCAACACCATTAGCACAAAATTAAAAAAAAAAATCAAATTACAGAAAGCGCGGCAACATATAGTACCTCCAACACTTTATTAATTTCCTTGGAAGGCCCATAATTGTTGCCTTCATTAATCTGCATATCCATGTTGAACTTGCCATTAGCAGTCGCTTGTTTTTGGCAATTTGAACACAGGAATGGAGCATTCACATCCCTTGGTGGCGTCTGACCACAAGCATCAACCTTCTTCATGCCTGACTGAGAAGTCAAAGACAAGTGCTCCAAAGAAAGAGCAACAGGTGATTTACTTGAGGCTGAATTCCGCTGATGATAATCAATAATTTGCAGACCTCTATGAAGGCTAGCTGCCAATGACTCGATGGGGTTGACTTTACTAGATTGCAGCGAGGAACGAATAGGGTCTACTGCCTTACTAAAAGTCCCTTTTTCTGAACCGGGCTTTGGGCTTTCGGATGAAATGTTCTTCATAAGAAGGCAAGGTGAACTCAATGAGCTTTTCTTTAGGCTATCATCAACTTTAGGAGATGCACAAAGAACTGGCTCTTTCAGTAGGGGCGATTTTTTTGAAATGCTAGAATTTTCTGAATTGCACTGAACTTCATTGCTCTCAATTGGCATAATCTTTAATGTATTTGGTTTTTCAACTTTACTTTCCTCAGAGTACTCTTGGTTTAATTCATTGCTAACTGGGAATGAGGAAAAATTTGGGGTTTGATCAGTTTTAGTTCCACTTTGACTCCCGCTGCTGTCTAGTTCAATATCATGCATGCAATCAGATGACAAAGCGGATACTGAAACTTTTCTAAATATTTTTTCTTGTTCTTCTATAGAAGAATCTAAGTCATTGAGTTGAACGCACAATTCCTTTATATCTTTCTCATCAACATCCATGTCAACTTCTGGATCATTATCTATTGAAGGGAGAAACAAAGAATGATTAAGACTCCGTCTTAGAATATTTAAGCTATTGCGATTCGCAAGCCTTTTGAAATGTCCATTTGTGCTGACGAAACAACTTCCTCCAAATGACTTCGCTCTTATAAGCTCTTCCTGCACAAAGGTATTTGAAGAAATAAATGAAGTTTTAGATATTACACAAAGTTGTTCATGATACTTGAACCTTCTGGAAAGGTTTTACCTTTAACTGACGTATTTGGTCGCTCAGACCATTAACATCATCTTCAGATATTTCATTGATCATTGCCTTGTTTTTTATTTGTTTCACCCGTCCACCAAATCTTAGCGTGCTTAATGTTATTGCTTTGTATCTGCCAAGTCAAGTAAACAAATGTTCGTTATTCTTTGTTGTAATCTCATGGACAACTGAGAATACAAGACTTGGAGTTACCTTTCATCAGGAGAAATAGAACAAATGAACGTAGCCTTCGCATTGCCTCCAAGAGTATCTTGCAATACGTTATTCAAACAGGAGTCTAAAAGTGGAACCTTTTCCTTATTTTCTTGGTGAGTGGAATCTGATAGAATGCTGACCAATCTCCTGTATTGGAGCAGCCAGATGTCAAGTAAAGAATTAAAGGACGGAATAATCAGCTATTAAAATAGAAACACATTGGAAACAGTTGGTGCAAATTATCTTGTAGTTGTGAGCTTTAGAGTAAAGATGAAAAATAAGCACAATTTTGCAAGAAGTGTAACATGAAAACGAATAAACACTTATCTTGCAAATTTTCCAGTAAAGATGCTGATGAAAAATAAGCACAAATACAAATGAATTGACAGAATAAAGCAAATAGCTACATACCGTTCTAAGAACACATTTAAACAAAGCTTTCCTTGGATTATTCGTATAAAAATAGGATTGTCTCTTCTTTTTTTTTTTTATTTTGCAAGAAGTGTAACTTTAGTAGTAGCAGCAGCTCTAGTGACAGAGGTGTAACTTTGGGTGATCAAATTATTAAAATGTGTGAACGATTTAGATATCTCGGGTTTGTTGTTCAAAGCACTGTTTAAATGTGTTCTTAGAATTCAAGTTGATTGGTTGAAGTGGAATAATTAGAAAGTTTATGTGTTCTTAGAATTCAAGTTTATGTGTTCTTAGAATTCAAGGTGTAACTCTAGAACACATCTCTACTGAAGTTAAATTATTAGAGCTAGCTAGCAATTATATCTTCATGGAAAAGTACAATTCGCTTCATGGAAAAGTACAATTCGGAAAAGTACAATTCGCTACAAAGCACATAGATTGGCATCTCCCAAGGAAATGCTTTTAATGCTTCAATTAGAAAGTTGAAAGTTGCACTTTTGAGCAAAGGGCAAGGAAAACTTTGAGAAATGTTGGTCTATCTTATTGAGGTGCGAACTAATTTTAATAAGGGTGATTTGATCGTCGGATGGAGCATATGTCACAACCCCCACCACTTATTAGTAACAACTCCATTGAGAGTCTCGATGAGAAAATCATTGAAGTCATTCAAGATAAAGATTGCTTCTCGAGACTAACACTTATGAAAGCTAGAGGTCATACACATGACTCAAGAAAGTATTTTGTAAATCACAAGGATCACAATCAAGACATAGACGACTACTCATATTTTAGGAATTGAATTAATAAAGAAGGAATCTATTTTACCTTAAATCATCAACATTATTGGAGTAGCCATCGCCATCCTTGGAGGGAATGGGGCAAAAGATTCCCACTAGTCAAGTCTCAAACAAACAAATTTGGTGCGACAGAATCTATTTGGTGAGTTCTTCTTAGCCATGAAGGAATAGCCATCCACCCATTATCTTCAGTAGAGATGTTCTCCTTATAAATAGAGAACTAAATAAAGACATAATTGTGGTCACACCATTAATTATAAACTACACAATTGACAACATCCAATAGACAAAGTGTTTAGGAAAAATCCTCTTTTGTGGTGTCTACGACAAAGCTTAGGGTCTTCAAACCTTATTCCCACATCAGGCCCTTTGTTTGGCTATTTTAGAGAAATGAATAATATACATAATTCACAGCCATAGCCAACTTTGTAATAGTTAATATGCTAGCAATGTACAATGCAATATTTGGCCAACCCTTGTTGATTACCTTTCATGTTACTATCAAATTTATGTGAGGTAGAGAATTATTTACTATTAGATGGATTTAATACAACCTTGAAGTTGCTTCATTGAAGCTATAGAGACTGTACAAAGGGAGATCCTACAACTTGATATGCAAAGGGAAAGCAACCTAGAGGCCAATGAGGTCGACAATGAAATTATCATCTTCGAAGGAGAATCCAGAAGAACATTTTGGCAAAGATATCTTTTGATGCAGGGTTAATAAGCAGATGGATTACAACTCTTTGCATGTATAGAGATATTTGCTGGCCAACTAATGAGATGCTATGAGCAAGTGTTGATCTCTGATGTCATAGAATCAATGTTGACCCTAGAGCTCAACCAATCAAGTTGAAGATGAGATCAGTCACTACCATTCTCAATGAGTTTATTCTCTAAGAAGTAAGCAACCAACACTGATACTTTTATCGGAGAAGAAATAAAAATATATATATCAAAAAAGGAAATTCACCTAAAATTTTCTTATGTTCATCATCCTTAAATAAATCGCTTCAAGCTCTCATCCTCCACATCCATTTGAGGAGATACCTAAGTTGTCGCATGGATTTCTTAGACTACCTCTCTCACCAAAGAAGTGCTAGAATTAATCCCCTAGGTAGCATGAAGCCTTGTAATCTCCACACTCTTTTTAGTTTCTTAAGCCCACTCTCACTTTTTCCCAAAAGCATGTCGTTCAAACTCCCACTCATTGAAAAATAGGCTCATCATTCATGTTCAAAGCGCTATTCACAATCAATCATGCATGTTGATCAACAGATCACTTACTTCTCGCTCATAAGCCTATTCTCTTATTATTTTTTGAGTTCCCCAATTAAAAATGCAAGAGAATTGCGAAACTAAATATGTACAACTATAAAGTCTTAAACAGAGTTTAAATCAACTTACAGGCCAACTTGCCAAATTAACCAACTAGTTTAGCATGACAGCCAGACCACACAGACCAACCACCCAATTCATCTAGACAACTTGGTTTGGCAGATAAACACACTAGTTTTACCAAATCATTGGCGACATTTGGAGGCAAACCCTCTCGATCAACCAACCTTGTACAATGTTCCTTTTATTTGTTGCGTACTGTTGTATCTAGTGCACCTCGGGACATTCCAACTTATAAATAGATGTGGCCATCATGTGGTATAGGAATTCTTTTGGGAGGATTCTTCTAATCAAGACTCCTCTAGAAGAGTTGAAACTCCTGTAAATTTTTCTCTCTTCTTTCATTGGTCTCTATCTATCATATGATTCTTCTCTTCTCACACGAATGACCGGAGGCTATACGAGCCCCGAACATCCCTCATGCGCATATAATTCGAGTATCAAACCTTGCACTCGGGGGGAATCGAAACCCAAACCAGAGGAAACTTACAACCGATAAGTAGATGTTCGACCAACTGATCTGAGTATTCGGCGCATATATATATATGTACACACACACACACACACACACACACAGATATAGTCACACACACGCTTAATTACTTAAAATTGCAATATTGTAATCCTACTATATTCAACTAACATCAACCAATTTTCAATAAATTATAACATCTAACATCAATATGTGATATATGATATTTATTACTCATTTAACTACTATACAAAATATTTTTTGAGCTAAGATTTGGAAAATAAATAAATAAATATTTATTTATAAAAATAACCATATCATAAAAATATAATAAATAAATTTTTTTTATATAAAATGAAACATCATTAAAAATTTTATGAGGGATTTTTTTTTAAAATATTTAAATTTAGGGGCATTCACATACATACCTCCCAACTCCTATTTAAATTTAAATGTGTTCTTAGAATTCAAGTGATATAGATGAGGATGTTAATAGTAGAATTCAAGTTGATTGGTTGAAGTGGAGGAATGCTTCGGGCCATTTGTGTGATAAAAAAGTACTGCTAAGACTAATAGGAAAATTTTATAGGATGGTGGTGAGACGTGTAATGCTCTATGGCGTTGAATGTTGGCCTTTAAAAGAGAAGCATAATATTAGGTTAACTGAGAATATTTAGGTGGATGAGTGGCTTTACACTTAGAGACAAAATGCAAAATGAATATATCCATGATAGGGTTGGTGTATCTCCAGTGATGGACAAAATTAGAGAGAGCCGTCTTAGATGGTTTGGTCACATTAAACATCGACCATATGATGTTCTGATTCGCAGAGTGGATGTTTTGGATTTGACTTATGTTAAGAAAGGCAGAGATAGGCCTAGGAAACTTGGGCTTATTGTATTAAAAATGATCTTAATTTATTAGAACTAAATGAAAATATGACTCTAAATAGGACGCAATGGAGAAAAAAGATTCATGTAGCCGGCCCCACGTAGTGATTCGAATTTAAGCTTTGTTGTTGGTTCTTGTTGTTGTTGTTGTGTTTTTGAATTTTGCAAGAAAAGAAAGTTTCAACCATCAAGAACTTATATAAACATCAAAAAGCTGCAGAGTGTGGTATGAAGTCGTCTTTGCAACTCTCTAGGTTTTAGGTATGCATTTGCTCGCTTTCAATGCAACAAACTAATAAAGTTAAGCAAGCAGGTCCACACAATTTTGTTATTTTGAAGAAATCTGATTGCCCAAAAGCTTGCATGCCCACTTGGTTAAGTTTTACGTGTCAAGTTTTATGTCTCACCTGTGGAAGTCCATATACAAATTTAATGTAGATTTGGTGAGTGGCCAATACTAATGTAGATTTGGTGAGTGGCCAATACAAGCATCGAAATATTTTCCATTTGTATTATGGATTCAATTTCTACTTCCCTCATTTTTTTTATGCTTTAGAATAATAACCATGTTGCCAAAAGCAAGAAAATTTTTGCCATCCTTATGGTTACATGTAAGCCAAAATTTCTTTAATATGAAAAAATTTTGAAAGAAAAGAAAATGCTTTTATTCGTAGAAAATATTAAAACTAATTTTTCTTGGTGGAATTTGATCCCTGGCCTTCCATATAAAGGAAGAGGAAATTAGCGCTTCAACGCCACTTGAATGGTTGTTCATTGAGATATATCACATTTGCCGATAAAAATAAAGAAAAAAAGTATGTATTATATATATATATATATAGTCATGTTGTTTATTGAAATTAGATTCAAACAGGATATTTTAAAGCAATGTCTAACATACCTTAATAATGCCTAAGTTGATATATTTATTGAATCATGTAATTCCATATTTATTACATGCACAGCACATCAAGATTGGAATTTAATCGTACAAAATGGTTTTTTCTTGTAAATCTAAAGAACCCAATATTTGACAAAAATGAAGTGTCAGGAAATCTAAGAAAAAACAAATAAATAAACACCATTCACCACAATTATAAATATAGAAAATGGCAAACTTATTCAAATATAATAATCTGACATGCTTATTCTCAGAATTGATCTACTCAATATGGAAGCAATAATTTTAATGTCTGTTCTACAATGGTTTATTAGTGATTTGCGCAAAAATTTTTAGCGGTTTAAAAATGCCTAGATTTTCAAATAAGTTATTTTAGCTGTCCAAGCTCAAAATTAAAACTAAAAGATCATACCCAAGTTTTGAGAGTGATTTCTTGATAAACCAGTCTTCTTGAATAGTTTGTCTGCTGACAGCATCGAGATCATTATCACCAATTCCAGCAAGGTCAACAAAGCTGATTCTGCTAGTCTTTGAACTGCTGAAGTAATTTGATGACAAACCCTGACATTAAATATCCAGTTAACGTAAATATAAGTCTAATGACAAGTAAATTGACAAATATTTTCTAAGGACTCCAGAAAAGACGTATTAAGTAAGCTACACTGATTTATTTATTTTGTAGGACTTATGTCTTGTGATGTCAACTCTTACCGTTTATTTGAGTTACAATGAATTACATATTCACCTACTTTCACATTAATTTTTAATTACTTTATTATTCTAAAAAATAAAAGTAATATTACAAAGAATCAGTTAATTATTTTAATTTATAATCGTTATTAAAAGGGAAAAAAATTCAAGCAGACATCCTTTCTCACCTTTTTTTTAAGTGAGCTTCAAAAATAAGAAATAGATTTCATCCATTTTCGAGCAAGAAATACTTGAAATCTTTTTTAGAAATGAGATTCAATAACTTCGGAACGCTTGCATTGAAACAATATGACCCTACGTGACAATCAACGCTAAAAAGTAGTGATCAACTGGGAAGTTCTACATAACGGCTAGAATGAAGGATGCTTAAGTTTAGTGATAGAATCTATTAAATAATTCTACAAGAAGACTGAAATGAGCCGAGCTCAAATAGCCCGAACGGGCCATGATTCAATGTAAGCATGTAACATTGCATTAAAATTAAGGCGGTGTTTGGTAGCATATTATTAAAAGGATTTAAGAAATAATTTCACTTAAATCTAGCCAAACATTAAAAAAATAAAACTTAAATCTGAAGCTCCGTTAAGTCTATTTTTTCGTGTTTCGTCACTTTCTTCCCGTGTTCCATCTCCATTCCGACATAAATCCATATTTAATAAATTTGAATACAAGTTGAATTTAAGTGATTTGTTTCACCATCGACATGCTCTATTTCCATGGAAAATTTTATCTGATTTGATAAATCCTATTTAACATTAATCCAATTTACAGCCAAAAACAGGCTAAATGTAGTATTTCTATGGCAATTGAGGCTCCACATGATTAAGCCTGACAATAGAATAGGATGAAAAATTGAGTGATAATAAATTATGTTACCTTGCACCATGATTCAATGACACAGGTAAAAATTATATGAGATCGTGAACTCTTTGAGTTTAAATTTGTTGCACCAACTTTTCTATTAGAGAGACCCTACAAAAAATCATCAGAGAACAAAAACGTAAGCCATTAAACATATTAAGTTTAGAACCAGACCCAAAAAAATATGCACTAATAAAAAGCAGCGTAAGTCTGAACAGGCCAACATATCTTGGGAGAAAAAGCAATAGTGATGACAGAAAAAGGCCTTCAAAGCGGGATTAGTCAGATTAAAAAATATCAGTGAAACAACAACAATGGAAGAATAGTTACATTATAAAGATCATCAAAGCTTAATGAAGGGATCAACAAAATCAGTGTGGCCCAATAACATTTACAGATGAATGAATGAATGAATTGTACAAACACCACTGATAAGAATCAAAACTGTTATTTCAGATTTATCGAATTATATAAAATATTGCTTATCAAAAAATTCGCTGGCTAGCAACATCTTAAATTGTTCCACGATGAAAGTGTTTGCTTTTTATAACTATATATATTTATAGCGAGAGAGAAAGAGAGAGAGAGAGAGATTTAAAATGATTTTATATCATGCCGAATAAAGAGCATAAAAAGTGCATTAAGAACACTAAATGTAAACCCATAAAACAGCCTACTCCTAAACATTTTGAAAATAACTAACTCAAATCCATGTTTACGTTTATGATTGTAACAATCTGCATTACAAACAAAGGACCGCACCGGTTTAACTGAACTGATTCCTCCTCAACTTAAATTTTGAATTTGTGCCCTCCTATCCCCTCTCTATTTTGGAATCGAGACTCTTCCTTGGGCTCAAACAAGAGAAAGGAGAGCAAGCAAACGGGTGGGAAGGCGATCGATCAAAAGCCGGCAATGATGGACAGCTCCTACAGCACATAGCATGTGAGCTGGAGTGAGTAAGAACTCTCAATTTGTGCCTTTGATACCCATGATAGCACAGAGAAGGTTTATAGAGAGAAGAATGAAGTAGAAAAAAGGAAAGAAGCATTAATACTTACTTTTTCTTCTTATTCTCCTACTTGCACCAACAGGATATTCTCCTCTTCATTCATTGAACAGTTAAGTACTCTTAAAAAATAATTTTTAGGCCATTTTGAGATGATTTAGGAATGCTTGGTAGCTTGGTGAGGAGATGATTTTTTAACCAAATTACTTAACCTAGTTTAATTCACCCCTTTCTTTAATGATAGAGTTACAGATTTTCATATATAAGAAGTACAAGTCTAACAGCTTAACTAGTTAGTCCTATAAGGAGAAAAACATTAATATTTTTATGAGTATATTTCTTAATTGCAATGCTTTCAATCAAGGATGGAGGTAAATTATTCTGGTTAAAATGAAGATCTAATTGTCTATTCATATTCTTCTTGATAAAAGATTTGATAGTGAACTCGATGTATTGAGTTAATGGGATTTATTTTTATAAAACCTGAAAGATGTTTAGTGAACGTGTATGGAGGATTCATAAAGCCATGGTTGATGATAATTGATACATAAAGTAGTAATGTTTAATTGACATTTAGAAATAATTATGAAAATATATATTAGGAAAACCTTTGAAGTTATTCATTTTTCATGGAATATACTTAAATTGTTTATTTTGGTTGTTAAATCTCTGTTACGCAGCATATTGAATATGTGAATATATTATACTATTTTGAATCTACGATTGAAGAGGATCAATTATTGCAGTAAGAATATTTATGGGTGATTGAATAGCTGATTGCTTGTTGTTTTCATTAGTATGTTACTCTTTACTAACTGAAGGATATATGTACTCTTCTTTATTAGAGATATATTCCATGCTTGTTATTCATATATTTTATTGTTTATATAAAATTTGTTCCATTTATTATTAGTCTCAATTATGACCATATTGATATGATGTAATATTCTTATCTTGTTGGTTGGTGCACAAAATCCTAAAATGCTCTTGTATATCATTTTAATCGTTGAAAAAAACTACTATTTAATCAAATCAAAAATTTTATCGATATATAACACATGTTGAACAGAATAATGATAAACTCTTCATTATAATGTGTTTAATATTATTAAAAATAAAAGAAGCATACTTCTATGCATTATTTATGCATTTGAGGCAGAATACTTCTTCATGTTGGCTAGCCAAATCAACGAGTCCACTAATGACTACCTTTTTGAGAGAAATCATTGAATTTTTATGGGAATGATGCTACCTTTTTAATTTTAGGTTGACATAATAAAACCACCTATAAATATACATATATATAAAAATAATGATGAATGACTGATGAGTCCTTCATGGTTTTATACTTATTGTGTACAGGCAAGTGAAATTTTTCACATTCAACTGCAATTATTTTTAGTTGTATATAAGTGCTTATGAATTATATTGCATAACAAGAACCATTAAATAATTACATTATTTCAAAATTTATTTGTATAAATATTATTTATAATTATTGCAATATGATATTCATTATTAATCCTACTTTTAATAATTCATATTTATGCCCTATGCCTTGCCTTTTTAACATTACTCAATGTGATTTAACCTGCTTAGTTTATTTCTTATTAAATTCACACCTATTAATTTGTGAATTTTAGGTATGCATTATCTAAAAAGATAGTTTTTAAACTCATGCTTCCAAGAAATTAAAAAAGAAAATTATAATTAGAATTTATTTGGTTATTACTACTTTTCATATTTTAATAAGTTAATATGTCGTTAAATGTCTTTTATAATTTGATAACTAAACTATTAAGCGTATTGGATTTAGATACATTGATGATCTTATCAGTGGACTAAGAATATTGAACCATGTGTTTTTAATTCTTAGAATCATTTCTTAACTTTCAACTTGCACCTCCTTGCTATATTCCAATGGCTTCCTTCAAGGCCTATGGGGAAGAGTGTGACAATAATGTTTCTAAAGCATGCATAGCTCAATTTAAGAACCAACTTCAAGAACTATAAAACATCAATTCGACCCACTAACATAATTTAAATATGGAGAACTAAATCATGCTCGGTTAAGAAAAAATCACATCAGGATATCCCTAACTAAAAATTGTTCAAGATGGACTATGAAGCCCTTGATCCAACATTCATATGAATGTAATACATTAGTAATTTGTATTGCATTCATCTAAAATTTAGATCTAAGCACATTTTAAAGCCCATCCCGACAAAAAATTTCAGTAAGAACCTTAAACCAATATCTTCGCTTGGAATAAGTTAGGATTTGCACTTACATTTTTAAATATAATTACAAATGATTTTTAAAAAATTAGTTTATTATGCTCCAGGCATAAAAGAATACAAGAAATATTAATAATTTGATATGCATAAATACAACAATAACAACAACAAAGCCTTAATCCCACTATGTGGGGTCAGCTACATGAATCCTTTTTCTCCATTGCGACCTATTTAGTGTCATATTTTCATTTAGTTATAATAAGTTAAGATCATTTTTTTATACAATAAGCCCAAGTCTTCCTAGGTCTATCTCTGCCTTTCTTAACATAAGTCGAATCTAAAACATCTATTCTCCTAATCGAATCCTCAGATGGTCAACGCTTAATGTGACAAAACCATCTAAGACGACTTTTTCTAATTTTGTCCTTCACAAGAGCTACACCAACCCTATCACGGATATATTCATTTCGCAATTTGTCTCCGAGTGTAAAACCACTCATCCACCTAATCATTCTCATCTCGGCAACACCTAACCTATGTTCAATTACCCTCTCCCATAATTTTAAAGTATAACAATCAACTTAATTCCTCTATAATTTGCACACTCTTGTGCATCACCTTTATTCTTAAAAATGGGGACCAAAATACTCTTCCTACACTCTTGCTATGCATAGATATTTTACAAAAATATTTTACGTATATTATATGAGAAGTTTAACATCTCAAAAAATATGACAGAAAGCAAATAAGAAATTCATGATTTGATTGGTCTCCTTTACTTTCAAATTGTTTTTGCAACAATATGGAACCTTATAGTTATTGGTTCCAAAGCACCCACAAAATATTAATGAATGTCTCAATAGAAGCGTCTTTTAAATAATGGACTTCTAGTGAGATCTCACATAATTAAACTATAAATCTATCACTTGTTTCCTATGTGCACTTAAGTTGGATGATTGTATATACGTGTCTATAAGTAGAGATAATTAGGGCTGTCAAAAAAGCTCTTTGTTCGCGAACAGTTCGTGTTTGGTTCTTCAATGAGTTCGTGTTCGATTCGTTCGATAAGTAAACGAGACAAACGCGAACAAATTTTTTTCGTTTGGTTAGTTAAACGAACCAAACACGAACAGTGATGCGTTCGTTCGTGTTCGAATCGTTATTGTTTGAAATATAAAATAATATAAAATAATTATATATAAAAAATTTATTATATTTTAAAATATTAAATTTTATAAATTATAATATATAATAAAATATTAATAATAATATATTAATATACTATAGTAATAATATACTAATATAGATATTGTATATTTATATAATATAAGTTATATAATTAATATATAATATTATTTTTATATATTAATATTAGGG